ATGTTTTGGGGTTGCCTCTCGTCCGTCCGACGATGACACTGCTGACGCCGCTGCTCCTCTCTCGCCAGGGCCTTAATCCTAGCCCATGGCCCTTTGCCCCCGAGCATGTCCTCCCAGGACCACGATTTGCCCACCTGGGCCATCGCCAACCTCTCCATCTCCTTTCCCGGCGCTTCCTCCCATGTCCAGTCTGCCTGCTCCTGGACATGCTGCTTGGTCCTTGTATGGTGGGATCTTCTGTCACGATTGTCTAGAACAGATGAAGACCAAGGCGCAGCGTTGCAGACGAACATACTGAACTTTATTATCTTCAGTGATAATAAGCACAACAAAACGATAACGTGACAGTTCACGGTCTAACACAAACCAACTCGAAACAAGATCCCACAAACACTAAGGGAAAACCGACAGTTTAAATATGGCTCCCAATCAGAGACAACCAGCCACAGCTGACACTCGTTGCCTCTGATTGGGAGTCACTCAGGCCAACAAAGAAATAAACAAACTAGAACTCCCAACAAAGAAATACAACACATAGAATGAACACACCCTGGCTCAACATATAGAGTCCCAGAGCCAGGGTGTGACACAACCTAAGTGTACAGTTGTGGTCAAAAGTTTTGAGAATGACACAAGTATTGGTCTTCACAAAGTTTGCTGCTTCAGTGTTTTTAGATATTTTTGTCAGATGTTACTATGGTATACTGAAGTATAATTACAAGCATTCCATAAGTGTCAAAGGCTTTTATTGACAATTACATTAAGTTTATGCAAAGAGTCAATATTTGCAGTGTTGACCCTTCTTTTTCAAGACCTTTGCAATCCGCCCTGGCATGCTGTCAATTAACTTCTGGGCCACATCCTGACTGATGGCAGCCCATTCTTGCATAATCAATGCTTGGAGTTTGTCAGAATTTGTGGGGTTTTCTTTGTCCCCCACCTCTTGAGGATTGACCACAAGTTGTCAATGGGACTAAGGTTTGGGGAGTTTCCTGGCCATGGACCCAAAATGTCAATGTTTTGTTCCCCAAGCCACTTAGTTATCACTTTTGCATTATGGCAAGGTGCTCCATCATGCTGGAAAAGGCATTGTTCATCACCAAACAGTTCTTGGATGGTTGGGAGAAGTTGCTCTCGGAGGATGTGTTGGTACCATTCTTTATTCATGGCTGTGTTCTTAGGCAAAATTGTGAGTGAGCCCACTCCCTTGGCTGAGAAGCAACCCCACACATGAATGGTCTCAGGATGCTTTACTGTTGGCATGGCACAGGACTGATGGTAGCGCTCACCTTGTCTTCTCCGGACAAGCTTTTTTCCGGATTCCCCAAACAATCGGAAAGGGGATTCATCAGAGAAAATGACTTTACCCCAGTCCTCAGCAGTCCGATCCCTATACCTTTTGCAGAATATCAGTCTGTCCCTGATGTTTTTCCTGGAGAGACGTGGCTTCCTCGCTGCCCTTCTTGACACCAGGCCATCCTCCAAAAGTCTTCGCCTCACTGTGCGTGCAAATGCACTCACACCTGCCTGCTGCCATTCCTGAGCAAGCTCTGCACTGGTGGTGCCCCAATCCCGCAGCTGAATCAACTTTAGGAGATGGTCCTGGCGCTTGCTGGACTTTCTTGGGCACCCTGAAGCCTTCTACACAACAATTGAACCTCTCTCCTTGAAGTTCTTGATGATCGGTTGATTTAGGTGCAATCTTACTAGCAGCAATATCCTTGCCTGTGAAGCCCTTTTTGTGCAAAGCAATGATGACGGCGCGTGTTTCCTTGCAGGTAACCATAGTTAACAGAGGAAGAACAATGATTTCAAGCACCACCCTCCTTTTAAAACTTCCAGTCTGTTATTCTAACTCAATCAGCATGACAGAGTGATCTCCAGCCTTGTCCTCGTCAACACTCTCACCTGTGTTAACGAGAGAATCACTGACATGATGTCAGCTGGTCCTTTTGTGGCAGGGCTGAATTGCAGTGGACATTTTTTGGGGGGATTAAGTTCATATTCATGGCAAAGAGGGACTTTGCAATTAATTGCAATTGATCTGATCACTCTTCATAACATTCTGGAGTATATGCAAATTGCCATCATAAAAACTGAGGCAGCAGACTTTGTGAAAATTAATATTTGTGTCATTCTCAAAACTTTTGACCACGACTGTATGTAAACTTCCGACTTCAACTGTATGTTGAAGAGGGTGGGGCTTAAGCTGCATCTCTGTCTCACCCCATGGCCCTGTGGAAAGAAATGTGTGTGTCTTTTGCCAATTTTAACCACACAGTTGTTGTTTGTGTACATGGATTTTATGATGTTGTATGTTTTTCCCCCAACACCACTTTCCATCTTGTATAGCAGACCCTTATGCCAAATTGTGTCAAAAGCTTTTTTTGAAGTCAACAAAGTGTTTTGTTTGTTTGTCAATCAGGGTGTGCAGGGTGAATACATGGTCTGTCGTACGGTAATTTGGTAAAAAGCCAATTTGACATTTACTCAGTACATTGTTTTCACTGAGGAAATGTACAAGTCTGCTGTTGATGATAATGCAGTGGAATTTCCCAAGGTTGCTGTTGACACATATCCCACGGTAGTTATTGGGATCAAATTTGTCTCCACTTTTGTGAATTGGGGTTATCAGTCCTTGGTTCCAAATATTGGGGAAGATGCCAGAGCTGAGGATGATGTTACATTTCTGATCTGTATATTTGATAATTTCATGTAGGATACCATCAACACCACAGGCCTTTTTGGGTTGGAGGGTTTGTATTTTGTCCTGTAGTTCATTCAATGTAATTGGAGAATCCAGTGGGTTCTGGTAGTCTTTAATTTCTCTCTGTCTGTCTATATGGGGTAGCCTGAGGACGTGGTTACTTCTCTAACCCCTCTGGGTTTCCACACCACTCAGCATTGAGACGGCTTTACCTCATGCATAGACCTAATCTCAGCTTACGCTCAAATCCAGACGACGATACCTGGAACAGCATCGGCGTTATTAGTATGAGTTATTAGGACAATGATTATGATCTAAATATAGTTGTGGATGTTACTATTGTTGTCACTAATGAGGCAGTTTTCTTATACAGTGCATTCGTAAGGTATTCAGACCCCTTCCCTTTTTCCACATTTTGTTACGTTACAGCCTTATTCTAAAATGGAATGAATTCTTTTCCCCCCTCATCAATCTACACACAATACCCCATAATGACAAAGTGAAAACAGGTTTTTAGACATTTTTGCAAATGCATTAAAAATTAAAAACAGAAGAAAAAAAAACATTTACATAAGTATTCAGACCCTTTGCTATGAGACTCCAAATTGAGCTCAGGTGCATCCTGTTTCCATTGATCATCCTTGAGATGTTTCTACAACTTGATTGGAGTCCACCTGTGGTAAATTCAATTAATTGGACATGTTTTGGAAAGTCACACACCTATCTATATAAGGTCCCACAGTTGACAGTGCATGTCAGAGCAAAACCAAGCCAACCCAAGAGGTCGAAGGAATTGTCTGTAGAGCTCCGAGACAGGATGGTGTCAAGGGGGGAGGTGACCAAGGACCCGATGGTCACTCTGACAGAGCTCTAGAGTTCCTCTGTGGAGATGGGAGAACCTTCCAGAAGGACAACCATCTCTGCAGCACTCCAACAATCAGGCCTTTATGGTAGAGTGGCCAGAAGGAAGCCACTCCTCAGTAAAAGGCACATGACAGCCTGCTTGGAGTTTGCCAAAAGGCACCTAAAGGACTCTCAGACCATGCGAAACAAGATTGAACTCTTTAGCCTGAATGCCAAGCGTTCCATTTGGAGGAAACCTTGCACCATCCTTACGGTGAAGCATGGTGGTGGTAGCATCATGCTGTGGGGATGTTTTTCAGCAGCAGGGACTGGGAGACTGGTCAGGATCGAGGAAAAGATGAATGGAGCAAAGTACAGAGAGATCCTTGATGAAAACCTGCTCCAGAGCGCTCAGGACCTCAGACTGGGGCAAAGGGTCACCTTCCAACAGGACAATGATCCTAAGCACACAGCCAAGACAACGCAGGAGTGGCTTTGGGACAAGTCTCTGAATGTCCTTGAGTGGCCCAGCCAGAGCCCGGACTTGAACCCGATCTAACATCTCTGGAGAGACCTGAAAATAGCTGTGCAGCAACGCTCCCCATCAAACCTGACAGAGCTTGAGAGGATCTGCAGGTGTGCTAAGCTTGTAGCGTCATACACAAGAAGACTTGAGGCTGTAATCGCTGCTAAAGGTGCTTCAACAAAGTACTGAGTAAAGGGTCTGAATACTTATGTAAATATAATATTTCAATTTTTAATACATTTGCAAAAAATGTATAAAAACCTGTTTTTACTTTGTCATTATGGGTTATTGTGTGTAGATTGATGAGGGGAGAAAATACAATTTAATCAATTTCAGAATAAGGCTGTAACGTAACAAAATGTGGAAAAAGTAAAGGGGTCTGAATACGTTCCGAATGCACTGTATGTGCCTTGGTCTTCCAGGAACAGCGGAAATGCCTTACCAATGTCACACTCAGCTCAATATAGGTCTAGGGGTTCTATACAAATCTATCTGTTTACAATTTCAACTTCATCAGATGCAAGTATCATTGACAAAACCTACACTATTCCTTTACCAACCAGCATCCAAGTAGAGCCATTATTCTGGCCCATGATCTGAGCAAAAACATTAGAGTGCTGTCTAATTGCCACAGATCAGTGATGAAACGTTAGGCCTATGTCCTCCTTCCATGAAGATGCTCACTGTATATTTTAGGTCCAGTGTCTCTGTTTTGATTCACAGATGACAGACGCTTGCGTAACGAAACTGCTGGTACCCCCTGCTGCTACGCCGCTCTAGTTGGCTGACTGGATATGTACAAACTGACACGTCTAGCAACACCTCCAGGTGTGCTTATGAGGTTAGTCCTGTTATGAGGTAAAAGACCTGTCAATCACTCTGTATATTAATACTGGATTACATTCATTGTCAATCACGAACTAACACATATGCCTATCTGCCACGGACCTTCGAGGTAGCAAGGTGGTCAGTTAGTGGTGTGTAGAAGTGAGAGTTCGAATTTTTACATTTTCTTTTAAACCATTTATTTTTTGCAGCTGCATACCAAAGACAACAAACTCTTTTTTTTATACTGTGAAATGAAGGCATTGTCTGCTTGTTGATAAGAGGATTTCTAACAAACAAGGAGACTATTCAATAATTGAGTCGTAGAATTTTGTAAAGGTAAGCCGTCAAACTTTTGTTTGTCTACAGGTAAATTAACTTTTACATTGTGTCGTGAAAAAGGCAGGTCACCCAAAGCAGAAAAGACATAGTTGCAGTGAATCTAATTACCAGTATTTACAGTTCTATCAATCAAGTAACATCCCCAGGCGTGTTTATCTACCTAATTAAGCACTTATTTGATTGATTTTAAAATTTAACAATTAAGATACATGACACATTTACTTTAAATATGTTTAAATTAATAGCATGAGTTTGTGGCATGAAAACAGTTTAAATAATTTGTATTGGTACCATCCCCATGGCTGATTCCTCTCTCATCCTCTTTCCCTTTCTCACCTCCCCCTCTCTTACAATAATTGCCCATCTGGAATAAATCAAGTTGATTGAATTGAATTCTGTCCCTCCCTAGATGTTCCCCTGGTCAGCAGTGTTTTCTCTGGAGCCGAAGGTGCCTGGACAGCGTACGGCAGAAGAACTAGTCACCAACACTCTGATGCTGGAGCTGGGTGCCATGGTGAAGCGTACCGAACGTATTCGTCTGGAGAGGGTGACAAAAGAGGGCCGGCGCCGGCGCAGCTCTTCCTCCGCTGACTACAGCTGGCTGGCCACTGCCCCCAGCCACCAACCGTACGAGCTGACCCCCCGAGACCTGATAGACCTGCAGGACCTGTGTGCCAGGGTGCCACCGTCTCAGTGTGGCCCTGTCATTGTTAGGTGGGACTTTGTACCTTATGAGTGTCAGAGAGGTGTACGTACACCACATATCCTGAATGTCTCAGGTAGATCATTGAGATGGATTCATGATCATTCTCAACAGGTTCTTATGTCTTCAAAGTGAACTTGGGGCCACCTTTTTTCCCTTTGTCCCTTTATCAATATCAAGCAAACTCCTTTTTGACCTTTGCCCTCTACCCCAGGTTCAGGAATCTGGTGACGGAGATCGAGCCGGAGGTTCATGAGGTGGCTCGTCTGTTCCGCACGGTTCTCCGTGACTGTGTGGAGGGAGAAGAGGAGAATGAGGAGATGAGGATGAGGTCAGCCAACTGGGACAAACAACGCAGCAAGAGCCTATCCTTCGTAACCTTCCGCTCCAAGTTCCGCCCCGCTCCCTTCAGGGGCGGGGGCCTGGGCGGGTCACGCAGCAACCTGCAGGAGTCGTCGAGCTGGTACGAGGAGGACGAGGTAGAGCAGCAGGAGGGAGCAGCAAACGTGGCGAGAGCAGCCACGAAAGGGAGGAGTATGAGCATGCCTGATATCACCCCCATCGAACAGAGTGCACTTGGCTGAGGGAGAGAGCGGGAGGGATGGAGAAAGAGAATAGGAGACAAGAGATTGATAGGGGAGGTCAAGATGAGATGCAACATGAGGACAGGTCACACCTCAGCAGATTTCCACTGACTGTTTAGACATAATGCAGTTACATACGCTAGAGTAGAATTGCAAGCTTAGCCTGCAGATATGCCATACTATTTCTGTTTTTTTTTATTGTGAATTACATTTTCCAAATGCGTTAACACCTGAACTGCATGTAAAATGAACTAGAAAATAAAGGACTTATTTTCCAACAGATCCTTGATAATAAATTAGTTTGTGTGCGGATTCCTGTGGAGGCCCAATACAGTGGTTCCATTACTACTGCATAGCTTAGTTCCAGTCCTTTGGTTGGCATGGTTACTCTATAACAGTTCATTATATCAACCTTCTATAATCCTCTTACTCAGTAAAGAATTAGAGTCCTTTGCACAACTTCCCCATTGTTCTTTTTTAATATGCACTTATTTTCAATACATTAGCACTATTTTCACTTTACACACTGTAGAAGTCAAGGCATTTGGCTAAAAAAAGAGGGAAGAAATAGGAGTGTTTATCTTATTAAATAAGTTCTGGTCGGTCATTAAATAATAGCCTGTACATAAACATCTGTCCTCAGTGAGAATGAGAGGAGATGAAGAGGACAGTCTCCATTAAAGCAGTGAGGTCCAAACTGACAGTTTGGCAGAGAAAGAGACTTCACTAGATTGTACTTTCAGAACTACATAACCCTGGCATAACCAACGACGTCACCTGTTTATAACAGATGTTATAACAATCGGTAAATAAGGGTTTTTCTCAAATGACAATACAAAGTAATGACAGGATGCGTCCCAAATGGCAACCTATTTCCTATTTAGTGTACTACTTTTGTCCAGGGCCTTTGGGCTCTGTTCAAAGTAGTGCACTATATAGGAAATAGAGTGCCATTTGGGACGCACCCATAGGCAACAGTATTCAGACTGATCCCAGCTGACTTGCTGGCAGGTAAACCAGGTCATCTAAACTGTTAGATCTGCAATAACAGTGTTATGTAAATTGTTACAAACTGTTCGGGTCTGACTTGTCACATTGTGTTTATGATTAGGGCTATGAAGGGAATGTCCTCTTCAGTTTAAACCACCTTTAATCCTGTACTGTCATAAAACAGCTTAGACCACAGGTGTCTTGTCACATTTCTTTGAAATGTAAAGTATGCATTTGGCAAATAAGAAACCTTGAAAGAAAAAAAGAAAATAAACCAACAATAGTTTCCACTCATGCGTGGCGTGAACAATAGTGAGGGAGAATTGTTAAAGTCTCTCTCTTTAATAAAACTAGAATAATGAGGAACAAAAATCTAAAGAAATTATTACAATTCAAGAAAACTCCAGTCTGTTGTGTTGGCCCTCATGTCAGAGAGAGGAAGTTGATGAGTAAGTCTTTCCTGTCTTACAACCAATCAACAATTAACTACATGAGGGGTAAAAGAAAATCTACCAAAAAACAAAACTAGTTTGCAGAATCAAACCATTAAATAATAGTCATTTTTGATTAAATGTTTATGATGAATGATTCTCTAAAGTAACAAAGAACAGAATGACAAGTATTCTGTTTATAATTTACAAAGCGTGTTTCGATAGCATATCCTTTTCATTAGGGGTATTTCATCAATGTCTGTAGGGAGAGAATAGAACAGATCTGTTAGTCACTCCAGAAACACTCTCCAAGGCTTTAGGCAGCAGACTACTATAATTTCTTGGTCTGCTGGACCTCAAGTCCCAAACCGTCCAATAACACTCCACCTGTCCCACTGTCCTGTTGCAGTGGAAACCCTTCGTCTCAGCCCAACCTTTTCCATTGTCTTATGTCAGATAGCATGACTCCGTCTGAACTATTGGTCAAGGGACTAGCGTTTCATAGGAGTGACGCAACCTGTCAGAAGACAATGAACTTTTCCATCTTCCTCTCCCTCTTCTTCAACCTCCTCTTCTTCCTCTGTCATTTCTCCCTGCTCAGGCGAGGAAGACCACGAAGACGATGAAGAACACGATGAGGACGAGGAAGATCTTGACCATGAGCCAGCGGTTGGAGGACACAGACTGGAAATACTTGAGGATCTCCGTGTGAGCCATGTCCACGTTGAGCTGAGTGTCCTCCACGTTAGCATCAATCCTACATGGGAGAGGAGACACACATTGGGCTTTATAGACAGATCTGGGAGTGCTCAAGCATCTCAAAGTTTCTCCCTTCCCTCATTTTCTTCCTCCTCCCCTCTACACCACATCTCTTTCTCCCTTTTCCCATCCACCTTGTTTCCCTGCTTCCCCATCATACTGCTATCATCCCCTCCCTCTCATCCCCTCCCTCCCCTCTCTCCCTCCCTTCCCTTTCACCCTCATCCCCTCCCTTTCTCTCTCATCCCCTCTCATCCCCTCCCTTTCTCTCTCATCCCCTCCCTCACCTCTGTACTGTCTCCTCCTGCTCCTTCACCATGTGAGCCAGCTGCTGGAAGATGGAGCCCAGCTCTACGATGGTGCTCTCAATGTTCTGCATGGTGTCTGCACGGCTCTGGATGTACGAGTCCTACACCACAGAGAAACAACATTATAGTAACACAATGACACACACACACAATACAGGTGATAAAGTGTTTGTACCTGCTCATCAATGAGCTGGAGCTGTAGAGGGTTAGACTGGTTGTCCATGTCGATGGCCACCTCACCCCCCATACTCCTGGACTCATCCTGCATCAACACTGAACTCTCTGGCAGAGGAGAGAGAAAAGATGGTCAATTAGAAGGAAGAGAAAATAAAGTTGTGTGATTGAAATTCAAAGAGACATTTGTGAAGTTATCTGGTGTAGGAATGAGAGGCTGAAGGTGAGGTAAACATGGTGTTTTCTTACTGAAGTTGTTGGCGAGGAGAGGAGAAGAAGAGACAGGAGGCTGAGAGAACTGTTCTCTCCTGCTCTTCTGCTGCTTCAGGTTCTAGAGACAGAGGAAATGACAACGATATAGGCAACCTACAGTTATGAGAATTCTTGAGGTTTAATGGCAGAAAGTTCCAGAGTGACAGAAAGTTCCAGTGAATCTTACCTCTGTTCTTACTTCTAGAACCGACTTGAAGTCATTGGACATAGACGCCAGTTTGGACTGCAACAAAACAAAAACATGTGGTTGTTGATTATTAAAGCCTCAGGTTTCATATGGCTACATCATTTTACTCATCCAGATCAGTTAAATAATGCAGTGGAGAGGCACTGGCAGTAAGACCTGCAGGGAGACAACGATGGTGTTGGAATGGGTCTGGATGTGTCTGCCGCTGGGCGCTCCACGTGAACGGATCAGATCCTGCAGTTGGGCTATCTGCTTGTTCAAGCTGTTAATGTCCTAAGAGGGGGAGTAGAGGGAGACAGATGAAAGGAGTCAAACAGGGAACAGCAGTGTAACAGACAGACTGCGCCCACTAAAACAGCTAGGTTTGTCTCTTGCCTAGAGATTCCACCTGACTGACTGGTCATCGTGTTTGCTATTTATAGCTCATGACGAGAGACAGCTGACTGCTTTTCCTGTATCTGTGTCAATTCAAACTAAAAAATATCTCACCTGCTTGATGATGTAGGTTAACTCTTCAATCTCCACTGCCTTGTCATCAAATAGAGATTTTCTTTTAGCCACTGAAAAGGTCAAAACAGCCACATTTTCATAACTTAAAAATAAAAAAATGAGTTATTCAAAATAGCTATTCGTCACAAATGTTGAAACATAAATATTGACATATACTTACATATAGTGAGTTTCTCTAGTTTAGCAAACGTATTACTCAAGTCTTTTCCTATTCTCCTAGAGGGGTTAAAAATAACAGAAGATTGGCATCACAGTGATAGGCCTAAACATGAATACAGTGAAAATAAACTGCTAAAGAACATACATAGCTGCATGTAAAGTATGTCCTTTGGTAAAATGATAAGATAACAGAAAAGAGCAGCCAGCATTCCAAAGAGATCATGCAGAGCTACAATGTGATTAAAACACCATGGAGAAACTAACAGCAACACAACAATAACCGGCTATTTACTAAACTTCAATCAGACACTGGTGTCAACTACACACGAGTGAATGTGTAATGTGAGAAAGTTGGCTGGCAGTGGGACTCACTTGGCCATGAGGGTGAAGTCACTGCGTTGCTTGAGAGCACTGAGGGCTTGCTTGGTGGGCTGAACGCCATTCTGCAGAGAGGGAGAATGAGAAAGAGGGATTAAAAGAGTCATCACCTGTGACAGATTACATGAGGGGGAATGAATAGGAACCTCTATCTCCCATAGGTTATGTTCAGTATCCCCTGGTCTTGATCAGATGGCTATTTCAACATCACTGCCCTTGCCTCTCCCAAACCTACATACCTGTCTGCTCTGTAGGGATTTGCAGGCTGACTGGAACTCGTTGGTTCGATCCCTGCACGTCATCCTGCCGCCGATATCTCACCAGCCTGCACTGGGCACGCCAAGTAGAAAGGGTCTGAAGTCGGAACGATCTCGGTAGTGTACTAAAGACTGGTCCGTGCTCCGCGGAAACAGTCACTACAGTCGCTAAACCTCCTGATGTCAACTCCTAACTGCGAGGCGTCGAGCAATGTCCATTGATGCTCACAGGCATTCTCAATGTATCTGTTAAATGATAGGAGTAACAGAACCAAATTAATCTGAGCCCCCCAAATATGTAGCTAGCTAGTAACAAGTAAGCTAACGTTAGCATAGCCATCATTACCACGGCAACACAAACTGAAACAGAAACAAATGTTACCAGACAGCTTATATGACAGTGGTGAAATATACAATTATAGCTAGCTAGATATAGCTGTTGTCATTTAAATTCTTAGGTACTGAGCTATCTAGTTATACCAAGCTAACGTTGACTAACTAGCTAGCTAGTTAAAGAGCCGAATCCATCACAGCTGATTTTTAGCTAACACTAGCGACGTGCCTCGAATGTTTTGTTTGAAGAAAGAAAACGATCTCATCACCACATAAATCAAATGTGTGTGTATATATATATATAGAGATTTACTATAGGTTTACTCGATAAACGTGATCAGTTTCAACTTACTGTTAGCAAAATTCCACAAGAATTCACAGATCTTTCGATGTGTTTACCAAGCCGGGTCTGGGGGACTGAAAGTTTGAATCCGGGTCATTTCCGGATCCTGACGTCATTGCCACGTCCACCACTACTTGAGTCAGATATATTAGAGAAAGGAGTCACCATACACCACCAGATGTCGCCATATCTTATGTTTTCTAACAGACGTCAACTAGTGCAGCATTTAAGTCAACTGGACTGTATGAAATTGAAACCTGCTCTATAAAGAAGGGAAATATTTCAGTAATTGAACATTAAATGTTACGAACCAGTTAAATGTAACACTATGGTGAAATTAAATATATGCATGGATAGTGAAGCGCATACAGAGTAGCAGGTTGACGTTTATTGTCATGAGTCTGAAGGCAGAACTGAGCGATTTCCCCTTAGATAGGCCAGCTGCAATGACAAAATTGGTTATATTGTAAAAATTCATGAAAACAAAAATGTGCTTTTTGCTCATAAGGGTTAGCAATGTGGTTAGTGTTAGGTTTAAAATCAGATTTTATGACTTTGTGGCTGTGCCAGCTACTGACCACTCTGCAGAGCTGCCTCCAGAACAAGATTCATAACAAAAAACGCTAACCCGCTACAGATGAGAGTGGAGATAACCGTCAGACTCATTACCAAGCTCCAGAATGTGAGAGGGACAGGGATGGAGAGGGACAGAGGGAAGGTGAGCTACACAAATGAATACAGGTAGAGAGATAACATCCAGGACTTGCTCAGATCTCATGCTATACCTACTGGCTCCCACATCCTTACCTCAACAAGAGCTGGCATGTTCAGACCACAACTATGCCCTCACCTATCTTCTCCCCCTTCATCTTTCTATTGCCCCTCAATGTCTTCCTATAGCCTGTTCTCTTTCTGCCTGAACACCACTTCTGTGAAAAAACAACTTATGTTCTCTGATAATGCATAAATAAACCATATCTGTGCATTTGAGGGCATTCATATTGTAAATACATTTTACAATGTCTCAAATTGATGCCATTGCCATAAATCTTTCAATGGCTTCTATGTCATCTGAAATGATGAAGAATTATCAAAGCACCACAGCGATACATGTTTCCGTAAGAGATAACAGCTTGTTTTTTTATGTGTTCACTAAAGTCACAGGGGACTTTAAACAACATTCATTTTCCTGTCAGAGAGAGACATGGCTGGCCATAGTCAACACACAGAACATACACACACACATTGTAGGCTCTCTCTCAATTTCAATTTTAATTTAAGGGGCTTTATTGGCATGGGAAACATATGTTTACATTGCCAAAGCAAGTGAAATAAATAATAAACAAAAGTGAAATAAACATTTTTTTTAAATTACAGTAAACATTACACTCACAAAGTTCCAAAAGAATAAAGATATTTCAAATGTCATATTATGTGCAACTAGTTAAAGTACAAAGGGAAAATAAATAAATATGGGTTGTATTTACAATAGTGTTTGTTCTTCACTGGTTGCCCTTTTCTTGTGGCAACAGGTCACAAATCTTGTTGCTGTGATGGCACACTGTGGTATTTCACCCAATAGATATGGGAGTTTATCAAAATTGGGTTTGTTTTCGAATTCTTTGTGGGTCTGTGTAATCTGAGTGAAATATGTGTCTCTAATATGGACATACATTTGACAGGAGGTTAAGAAGTGCAGCTCAGTTTCCACCTAATTTTGTGGGCAGTGTGCACATAGCCTGTCTTCTCTTGAGAGCCAGGTCTGCCTACGGCAGCCTTTCTCAATAGCAAGGCTATGCTCACTGAGTCTATACATAGTCAAAGCTTTCCTTAAGTTTGGGTCAGTCACAGTGGTCAGGTATTCTGGTCCTCTGTAGCTCAATTGGTAGAGCATGGCGCTTGTAACGCCAGGGTAGTGGGTTCGATCCCTGGGACCACCCATACGTAAAAATGTATGCGCACATGACTGTAAGTCACTTTGGATAAAAGCGTCTGCTAAATGGCATATTATTATTATTCTGGCACTGTGTATTCTCTGTTTAGGGCCAAAGAGCATTCTTTTTTGCTCATTCTTTCCAATGTGTCAAGTAATTATCTTTTTGTTTTCTCATGATTTGGTTGGGTCTAATTGTGTTGCTGTCCTGGGGCTCTGTGGGGTCTGTTTGTGTTTGTGAACAGAGCCCCAGGACCAGCTTGCTTAGGGGACTCTTCTCCAGGTTCATCTCTCTGTAGGTGATGGCTTTGTTATGGAAGGTTTAGGAATCGTGTTCCTTTTAGGTGGTTGTAGAATTTAATGGCTCTTTCTGGATTTGGATAATTAGCGGGTATTGGCCTAATTCTGCATTATTTGGTGTTTTACGTTGTACGCAGAGGATATTTTTGCAGAATTCTGCATGCAGAGTCTCAATTTGGTGTTTGTCCCATTTTGTGAATTCTTGGTTGGTGAGTGGACCCCAGACCTCACAACCATAAAGGCCAATGGGTTCTATAACTGATTCAAGTATTTTTAGCCAGATCCTAATTGGTATGTCGAATTTTATGTTCCTTTTGATGGCATAGAAGGCCCTTCTTGCCTTGTCTCTCAGATCGTTGACAGCTTTGTGGAAGTTACCAGTGGCGCTGATGTTTAGATGTTTGTGTGCTCTAGGGCAACGGTGTCTAGATGGAATTAGTATTTGTGGTCCTGGCAACTGGACCTTTTTTGGAACACCATTCTTTTTGTCTTACTGAGATTTACTGTCAGGGCCCAGGTCTGACAGAATCTGTCCAGAAGATCTAGGTACTGCTGTAGGCCCTCCTTGGTTGGGGACAGAAGCACCAGATCATCAGCAAACAGTAAACATTTGACTTTAGATTAAAGTAGGATGAGGCTGGGTGCTGCAGACTTTTCTAGTGCCCTTGCCAATTCGTTGATATATATGTTGAAGATGGTGGGGCTTAAGCTGCATCCCTGTCTCACCCCACGGCCCTGTGGAAAGAAATGTGTGTGTTTTTTGCCCATTTTAACTGCACACATGTTGTTTGTGTACATGGATTTTATAACTTCGTATGTTCCTCCCCCAATACCATTTTCCATCAATTTGTATAGCAGACCCTCATGCCAAATTGAGTCAAAAGCTTTTTTGAAATCAACAAAGCATGAGTAGACTTTGCCTTTGTTTTGTTTTGTTTGTTAGTCAATTAGGGTGTGCTGGGTGAATACGTGGTCTGTCATAAGGTAATTTGGTAAAATGCCAATTTGACATTTGCTCAGTACATTGTTTTCACTGAGGAAATGTATGAGTCTGCTGTTAATGCAGAGGATTCTCTCTCTCTCTCTCTCGCTCGCTCTCTCACAGCTGCTGCTACAAAAGCAGAGGAAAACAAGCCTGAGGTTTTTATCATTAGAAAAATATAACACTACTACACACAAAGGTGGAAAAATACAGGAATCCACTTTCGCAGATGGAAGAGAGAGAGACAGAGAGAGACAGAGAGAGAGACAGAGAGAGAGACAGAGAGAGACAGAGAGACAGAGAGAGAGAAAACAGAGAGAGAGACAGAGAGAGACAGAGAGAGAGAGAGACAGAGAGAGAGAGAAAGAGAGAGAGACAGAGAGAGAGACACGAGAGAAGAGAGAGACGAGAGAGCAGAGAGAGAGAGATAGATAGAGCAGAGATAGAAACACTGATAGAGAGAGATCGAAGCTGAGTGAGTATATAGAGAAATTAGAGTGAGTATCAATTTTCTACGAATGAGAAGGAGTTTCAGGGACACATCACAACGAGTCATTGGTTCTCAGGGGCACCACCATCGAAGCAGACACAGGCAGTTCCAATATTATTCTGCACTAACATGACAAGGTTCTGGCCGTTTTCAGAGAGTAGACAAAGTTTTTACAAACAGAGGAATAGGATGAAAGGTTGAAAATACATCCATGTCTTCTGATGGATGAGTCACTCTCTCCCTCTCTCCCTCTCCCTAATCTTGTGCAGGCTTCTATATTTAGTCCCTGGCAGGATGCCCTTCATGACAGGTAGGCCAGGCAGCATCAGCCTTGAGCTCACTCTCACTGGAGCTGACTGGCTCTCTCTCAGGGTGGAGAGGGCCCCTAAAGACAAACTGCATCACTGAAAGAGATAGAAGGGGAGGGAGGAGGGGAGAGAGAGAGAGAAATAGACAAACACAGACAGACAGAGAGAGAGAGAGAGAGAGAGAGCTGGCTATCTCAGGGTGGGGAGGGCCCCAAAAGATGAACTGCATCACTGAGAGAGATAGAGAGACTGGATGAGAAAGTATTATTCCTCTCAGAAGCCAATTTCAAGATATCATCTGCTATCGGAAATTGCACTGTCACTGCCTCTCAGCCTCTGACATGAAAAGTCAATATGAGGACAAATGAGTATATTCCCATAAAATCATATTATCATCACTCATTTGAAGATTAAAATAATTGGCATTCAGAAGTACACACACACACACACACACAGTACTTGACGCGCAGCTGACTCAGCACAGTTCAGGTGAGGAGGAGAGACAATATTATTTCTCATATCATCACGTCACTCACACACTCTCTATCCCTCACTCCCAGGGTATCACTTCAATCATCAGCCTGTTTATCTTTCATTACTGTTCAGAGAGATGAAAAAGAAGAGAGGAATGGAGAAGAGGGAGGAGGGCAAAAAAGGGATGACATCAAAGAGATAACAGGAAGGGACGCATTGGAGAGACTACCAATAACAAAACATTTTACCAAAAATTAGACATTTCCTTTAATAATATCTGGAACATTGTATCATGGTTGTTTTGTTTTTAACATTTCCTAGTAGTATTAACATCCTCAGTAGTACAGTGTGCTTGTTTGTTTACATAGACATTTAATTGATTAATCGTCATAATATACAGTGACACAAAACTGCATGGTACAGTTGCGCACATACATCAAATAGGGCATAAATGGTGTAGCAGCAATAATAGTATCAGTGTTATACACATTACAATGCATTTGTAATTGTAGAGTCTGTAACATGGGAGTATAGCTGGAATGAATTACAAGACATTCTAAAGTATGCTCTACGTCATACACAAGATGGTGGTTGGTTATAAGACATTATAAGATATTATTATTATGTACTTTTAGTCAGGGTCTGCCTACTATAGCTGAGTAAAAGACAGTGGGGGCTAGAATAGGTCTACCTGGACAGCCTACAGTATATAGGGCATGTGCTAGACTCGCTTTGCCAAACTACAACACAGTGGCTGAGGGCAGACTAGGTGCGTGCAGACAAGAGGAGCAATCAGCACATTCATATTGGATATGGCATGGACATGGGTAGTATATTACTGTATGAATGGAGCATATAGTCCCTTCTCCAAGTGTCTTTCTGTAACTGGCAAGTTTCATAATAATAATAATGATAATGTGGTGTTGCTTATATTTGTCCTATTTCACACATACACAATTGTGTAATATATGCATGTGTGAATTGGAAATGTGTTTTCTGCATATCCCAACTTTCCCTGAGACACCCTTGGAGAGTGGGGTCATAGCAAGTTTCATGTGGACCCACACACAGCTTGACAATGACGCTTTGCAAACTATACCGCAGGGGGGTTGTTTTGGCATTCACAGGCCACCGTTAAGGGGAGAGGAGCTCACAGATTCTTCCAGGTATAGGCAGGGGAGAGACAAACACAGTAGAGCTGTACAGTGTCTGGTCTGACTGCCCTCACAGGACCAACCTCAAAGCCTGAATTCAAACACTCTTTTCACATACAGCTCACAAATCCCTCAGCTATATCTGTTAACAGGCAGACTTCGGGGGAATCATTGATACGTTGTGAAAGAGTTTTGATCTCATTATTTTGGAGAGGAATCTGCTACAACTTCAGCTAAAATACTCGTATGCTCATCCCAGTCTCTGAATCAGAGACCATTATTGCTTAGTGAAAATAAACTTTTCAGACCGAGTTAAAAGGACAATATAAATAGGAATGTCAGTGGAATATCACTTGGAATGTGACACTCAGGTTCTGGAATTTGAATATGTTTTACATTAGGGGGGTTCTACAACTGCTAAGAGGTATGCAAGCTTGAACAATAATGAGAAAGAAGAGATGTTTTTGTGTGTGTGTGTTGAATGGGGTTCTTGCTAACCAATATTCTATTGTAGCTGTCTCCTTTCCCCACACAGCTCTAAGCATCCCTCACAGACAGAAAGCCCACCACCCTGATTCAGCTTGATGGCTACCCAAAGTAAATAGACCCGTAACTGTATCTGTAGCTTGCTTACCATGCTAATGGACAAGTCGTTCAAATACTGATCGATTCTGACACGGTCATGGACCACAGTCATGGACCAAATGAGGTTTCACCAGTGACATGCTATATGGGGGGGTAGGAGATGTGACTGATTCTATCAGTAAATACATCTGTTATGTTCCAGACACCCATCCTATCTCAGCTCCACAAAACAATACAAACACCATATAATGCTGTTAACTAAATGTTTTCTTTTTACTAGACAACATTTCCCTGGTGAATATTTTTGTTACACATTATAATGTATATTGTATCCGATTTTTGGGCCATTGAGAACTCTCTCCGTTTAAATTCTACACAGTTGTCCATATGTTTAGACGCCTCATATCTACATAACGGTATTAGTCGGCCACCCAGAGGGACTCTTTATGTAGACAGATTAAGGACAAACAAAACAAAACAAAGAAACATTCCACAATATACAACATCTTTTAAGTCAACAGGACAAAATTAGGCCAAAATATAACAACTTATACAAATACAATAAAATGAAGTACAAAAAACATTTGGATTTAAAAAATGTATACTTATTTCCACTCTTTATATTGCATGTACAAGAAAAGCTTATAGATACCTGCATTCATTTCTATTTAGAAGTGTGTGTGTGTGTGTGTGTGTGTGTGTGTGTGTGTGTGTGTGTGTGTGTGTGTGTGTGTGTGTTTGTGTGAACCCTTGGACCATAGCCAGGCCTCTTCATTGTCATTCCTCTCACTGCCCCGTCGGCGTGAACAGCTCTTTCACTCCGGAGTGGAGAGATGGAGACAAAAACCAAATCAAACAAATGACAGAAAACCCCACAGTGATCCAGCCTGTGACCATACGCTGGGAATGAGAGACTAACGGCGGCTGGGTAACCCATCTGTGCCATTCAATGTGTGGACCACACAGATACAGTCTATCCAGCTATTCAACTCACTTAGCTATAGGTCCATGGGGGTGCAGCCTGATGGCTTCATACACACAACACATAGCTGATGTATGTGTGTGTGTGTGTGTGTGTGTGTGTGTGTGTGTGTGTGTGTGTGTGTGTGTGTGTGTGTTTTTGTGCATGTGTGTGTGTGTGTCCATTCACTATTCTATATCCTTACTGCACTTTAATGACTTGACCCTGGAATCATTCTCCTATCGGAGTCTCCCTGTACAAAAAATATAACATGTGTATCAATATCAGGATCATCCTCACTGTTGCCATTGTCTTTTTGAAAAACAGTCCAACAGCAGTTCATGGGCAACACTGACCCACCGTGTCTATGAGGAAGACCACAAAACGCAACATGAACGTGTCTGTTATATCTGATCTTTGATCAGTCTCTAAATCCTCTTCATGTTCCAAAGTCCCAATGTCTCATACAGAAGCGGAGGTGTGAGTGTTGAATTCTGGCTGTTCTACAACTAACGTCCTGGCCACCCACTGCCTCACATCGCCCTCATGATATTGGACATTTAAACTGTGCTTTACATTTGGTCCCATCATTTACCCTTGTGAAGGAGAGAGCGTTTATAAACCTGTTGACTGGACGATGGTAGCTAAGTGCCTGAAGAAGCTGTGGGATGATGAGACTGACTGCACATATACAGATACAGATCTAGACACAGTTGGTGCACATGTATATATATATTTACGTTGTAATACTGCACTGCCTTGAAGTTTCTGGAGGACAAGGAGGGACACAGAAGGGAGTACTTAGGGATATGCTTCCCCACCCCACCCCTAACAGAGAGGTACCCAGGATTGCGCTAAGCATGGCTGAGAGTGACATTGGAACCAGCGGTGACAAAGAGAGAGAGTAGAAAGAGAGCATCACCGCCTTATGGCCTCACATCTAAAACAAAAAGAAACAAGAGAGAGAGTTCAGATCAGATTGATCAAATGCGTAATGTTTGGTTGTGGTTTAGCCATGTTGAATGTGGTTGTGATGCATGGTCACAGTTGGTACTTTATCTGTGGTAGTGGTCAGAGCACTTCTTCTATGGCTCTGGTTCTGATGATGGTTTGCTGTCACTGGACACTGACCTGCAGAGGTGCTGGTTGAGTCTCCTCCCTTTCTGACTGCAGCTCTTTGCGGTCACGTTGCAGCGACACCGACAAGACTGCAAATCGAGCGTCCACTTCCTCCCAGGACAGGGGGTACATCGAGGGCCTGGCAAGGAAGACAGGGTGGTAGGGAGAGGAGAGGGGATAGTGGGGGGAGAGGAGGGTCTGGGGGGGGTAAAGAGAACAGTCACTTAATTTAAAATAATTACAGCACCTTAAAACAGACACCAGTGGCTTTCTGATCTGAGTGATGGACGGGCCTGAGAGACACTGAGTGAACTAACTGACAGCAGTATGATGAGGAGAATTGATGAAAAGGGATGAAAAATAAGGACTGAATTCTCTCTTTCCGCTCTCTGGGTGGAGCGATTTTCTGGGAATGATGTGTGTGTGCAGGAACACACCTACCCGCAGAGAAACAGACACTTTCTTAGACTCGTGATAAAGCTTTTAAATTATAGCGTTATAAATGGAGAAAGAAGCAACAACTGACGTGTTAATTATTTTGAGGCGCCTGTATGAGTTGCATGTTAAGTTGAACTTACGTGGTTTTGATAGCTCCACTTTTCTTTCTTTTGGATTTTCCTCTCTCCCGTTTCTTTTTCCTCAGAGGCTTTGCAGGCCTGTTAGTCAGAGACATACATCTGTGTCAAACAACAATTCGTCACAATAGCAGATCAAAATCTAAATAGATACATTACAGACTTTCTGAGTTAAATGCCTTATTAGAGTCCAACAGCCTTATTAGAAAATAAAATGTCTGCCTCCGTCTCCCTTTCTAGCTTTCACTCTATTCACTATTTCCCTCTATCCCCCTGTTCTCGCTCTTTCCCTAACTTTCCTCTCTGTGGGCCTTGACCTCTGTCCAGCTCTGTTGGTCTAAGACCAGCTAGTCAGTCTGCCACTGGGTCAGGGGTGGGCTGGGGCTCCAAACATGTGACAGAGCAAAAGTAGTTCTCCCTCTGTATGGTCAAAAGCCTTAGCCTCACTTCAGTTTTACACAAATCATAACTTTCTACAGCTCAGCACAGCACCCTTCATATAAACAGTTTAGGACACGTAAAATTAACATTTACAAGAGTATCTTCTCAGAAATACTATAAATGTACACAGACAGCCACATACATACAGTACTGTACCTGGTAGGGGCTGATCGAAGATCCTCTTTTAGTCTACAGGGAGAGAGATTATGTGAGGACACACAATGAGAGAATACATTCATGCATAGACTGTATGTGTGTGTGTGTGTGTGTGTGTGTGTGTGTGTGTGTGTGTGTGTGTGTGTGTGTGCTCACCTGCACTCACACTGGCTGTGCTCAACGAAGTCCAGCTCGATGAGCTCATGCTTCATAAAGGAGGTCTTCATTAGCTGCAAAGGACAAAGACACAAACTACAGTTACTAATCATTCTGTGTGTGTGTATGTGTGTGTGTATGTGTGTGTGTACCTCCATGGTGATAGTTTGTGTGAGTGAGGGCACACACTCCAGTGCCTCGTCGGAGCAGCATCCGCCACAGCGGCGGACCGACACACAGGAGGGCATGAAGAGGTGATGCGTCTCTCCCGGCAACTCCTGCCACACCTCCACCATGGTATCCCTGGGCTCACAGACACTACGAGAGTACACCTCCAACCACCGACGCACTGGAGGGAGGGAGAGAGAGAGAGAGAGAGAGAGAGAGGAAGAGAGAGGAGAGAGAGAGAGAGAGAGAGAGAGAGAGAGAGAGAGAGAGGGAGAGAGAGAGGGAGAGAGAGAGACATTTCAGATGCATAAGTTTGACAAGGTCACTACACATCACAAATATAGTCAATGTATTCATTCTTACTTTATGACTCTCACATCTGTTATTTATACACACATAGTTACTCATCATCAGACTGTTCACATATGCTGGTGGGATTATCACAGGGGGAAGAGGAAGTACCTTCTCTGGATTTTGGGGTGGTGTCTGCAGGTCTCCAGTGGGCTAGCTGGAAGATAAGAGTGACAGAAGAAGACATGTGTCAGGCAGTGGTGTAGTGCTATTTCTTCAGGTGAGGGAGCGCCATTTTTTTATTTAAAAATGACGTAATCATTTCTCATTCAAAGTTTGCACAGACAGATGTAGCCTATTGAATATCATTATAGAATATACACAAAATGAATCCTCCAATTCCAACGTCTGCCTAGGCCCACACATATTGTCTCAAGAAAACTTTAGATTTTGAATACCCTCAAACACCAAGTTAGGCAAACTTAATTTCAAAATAGGCCATCATGACTGTCAATCGTGAATGATAATTCTTCACATTTTACCAGTGAAATGTCCAAACTGCGTCTCCATCCCAATCATTTGATCTCAAGCAGTTTCATGGGAATATGCATTTAGATCTTCTTGAATTACTGTTTCGTGAGCGAATTAATGCAGATGGTGCTTACAAACTATTAGCCTTTCTTGTAGGCCTATTTTGTTTTAATCAAAGCGTATATCCTGCCTAGTGGCGCGCACTGTTGAGTTTTGAACGCCCTCGGATAAGAAATGACTATAGAGGTGTTTTTGATGTAACTATGCTACAGCATATGCGATGATATTTGGTTTGAATGCAAATAGTATGGGTAGCCATTTGATTAGATGTTCAGGAGTCTTATGGCTTGGGGGTAGAAGCTGTTTAGAAGCCTCTTGGACCTAGACTTGGCGCTCCGGTACCGCTTGCCATGCGGTAGCAGAGAGAACAGTCTATGACTAGGGTGGCTGGAGTCTTTGACAATTTTTAGGGCCTTCCTCTGACACCACCTGGTATAGAGGTCCTGGATGGCAGGAAGCTTGACCCCAGTGATGTACTGGGCCATACGCACTACTCTCTTTAGTGCCTTGCGGTTGGAGGCAGAGCAGGTGCCATACCAGGCAGTGATGCAACCAGTTAAGATGCTCTCGAAGGTGCAGCTGTAGAACCTTTTGAGGATCTGAGGACCCATGCCAAATCTTTTCAGTCTCCTTAGGGGGAATAGGATTTGTCGTGCCCTCTTCATGACTGTCTTGGTGTGCTTGGACCATGTTAGTTTGTTGGTGATGTGGACACAAAGGAACTTGAAACTCTCAACCTGCTCCACTACAGCCCTGTCGATGAGAATGGGGGCGTGCTCGGTCCTCTTCCTTTTCCTGTAGTCCACAATCATCTCATTTGTCTTGATCACGTTGAGGGAGAGGTTGTTGTCCTGGCACCACACGGCCAGGTCTCTGACCTCCTCCCTATAGGCTGTCTCGTCATTGTCGGTGATCAGCCCTAACACTGTTGTGTCATCGGCAAACTTAATGATGGTGTTGGAGTCGTGTCTGGCCATGCAGTCATGAGTGAACAGGGAGTACAGGAGGGGACTGAGCACGCACCCCTGAGGGGCTCCCACTGTTGCGGATCAGCGTGGCAGATGTGTTGTTACCTACCCTTACCACCTGGGGGCGGCCCGTCAGGAAGTCCAGGATCCAGTTGCAGAGGGAGGTGTTTAGTCCCAGAGTCCTTAGCTTAGTGATGAGCTTTGAGGCTACTATGGTGTTGAACGCTGAGCTGTAGTCAATTAACAACATTCTCACATAGGTGTTCCTTTTGTCCAGGTGTGAAAGGGCAGTGTGGAGTGAGTGGATCTGTTGGGGCGGTATGCAAATTGGAGTGGGTCTAGGGTTTCTGGGATAATGGTGTTGATGTCAGCCATGACCAGCCTTTCAAAGCACTACATGGCTACAGACGTGAGCGCTACTGGTCGGTAGTCATTTAGGCAGGTTACCTTAGTGTTCTTGGGCACAGGGACTATGGTGGTCTGCTTGAAACATGTTGGTATTACAGACTCAGACAGGGAGAGGTTGAAAATGTCAGTGAAGACACTTGCCTGTTGGTCAGCGCATGCTCTGAGTACACGTCCTGGTAATCCGTCTGGCCCTGTGGCCTTGTGAATGTTGACCTGTTTGAAGGTCTTACTCACATTGGCTACAGAGAGCATGATCACACAGTCGTCCAGAACAGCTGATGCTCTCATGCATGTTTCAGTGTTACTTGCCTCGAAGCGAGCATAGAAGTAATTTAGCTCGTCTGGTAGGCTCGTGTCACTGGGCAGCTCGCGGCTGTGCTTCCCTTTGTAGTCTGTAATAGTTTGCAAGCCCTGCCACATCCGACGAGTGTCGGAGCCGATGTGGTACGATTCGATCTTAGTCCTGTATTGACGCTTTGCCTGTTTGATGGTTCGTCGGAGGGCATAGCGGGATTTCTTATAAGCTTCCGGGTTAGAGTCCCGCTCCTTGAAAGTGGCAGCTCTACCCTTTAGCTCAGTGCGGATGTTGCCTGTAATCCATGGCTTCTGGTTGGGGTATGTACGTACAGTCACTGTTGGGACGACGTCATCGATGCACTTATTGATGAAGCCAGTGACTGATGTGGTGTACTCCTCAATGCCATCGGAAGAATCCTGGAACATATTCCAGTCTGTGCTAGCAAAACAGTCCTGTAGCTTAGCATCTGCTTCATCTGACAACTTTTTTATTGACTGAGTCACTGGTGCTTCCTGCTTTAGTTTTTGCTTGTAAGCAGGAATCAGAAGGATATAATTATGGTCAGATTTACCAAATGGAGGGCGAAGGAGAGCTTTGTACGCGTCTCTGTGTGTGGAGTAAAGGTGGTCTAGAGTTTTTTTCCCTCTGGTTGCACATTTAACATGCTGGTAGAAATGAGGTAAAACAGATTTAAGTCCCCGGCCACTAGGAGCGCCGGCTCTGGATGAGCGTTTTCCTGTTTGCTTATGGCCGTATACAGTTCATTGAGTGCGATCTTAGTGCCAGCATCGGTTTGTGGTGGTAAATAGTCAGTTACGAAGAATATAGATGAAAACACTCTTGGTAGATAGTGTGGTCTACAGCTTATCATGAGATACTCTACCTCAGGCGAGCAAAACCTCGAGACTTCCTTAGATATCGTGCACCAGCTGTTGTTTACAAATATACATAGACCGCCACCCCTTGTCTTACCAGAGGCTGCCGTTCTATCCTGCCGATACAGTGTATAACCCGCCAGCTGTATGTTATTCATGTCTTTGTTCAGCCACGACTCGGTGAAACATAAGATATTACAGTTTTGAATAACCCGTTGTTAGGATATTTGTGCCTGTAGTTCGTCCACTTTATTATCAAGCAATTGTAAATTTGCCAATAGTATCGATGGCAAAGGCAGATTAGCCACTGAGTAGAACTATTAGGCGTCGGCAACAGATCTTGATGATGAGGGTTATTTTAAGCGGTTTGAGGTCCCTTCGAATAGTGGTGCTGAAAGGACAGCACCATAACCAAGTGGTCACATATCGTTCTGGGTTCCACTGCACAAGATGGGGTCTGTGGAGTTTTATGAACATCAAGGCAGACACACAGTGAATTTGGATCCTAGATCTCATTGGTGTGATGATAAGGTTCATATGGTGGATCAGTTTGTCTGCATACGCAATAGAGGTGGTACGTTCCTGTAAGCTAAGCATCTGGACAGCAGGGCGAGTTCAAGTGCGTCGTACATGAGCAACATTCCATAACAAACTGTTTTGAGGACAGACGTTTTAGCAACCCCTGGAGTTTTCTGTCTGTGGCAGTTCTTGTTACATCAGATTTGGCCCACTCAAAGTGGTCAAGCCTCCGACCAACGGCCCCCGCCACCCTCTAATCATGCTACAGTTATTCATCATTCGTACCACCGCCAAGACTGGGAAGAAACCACCCCTTTCCTACCTACAGGCTGCTATAGCCTACATACAGTATTTATATAGTTTGTCATTCTATTGTTTTCATGGAAATCAGTGGTAATTAAATATAATTTATCAGAATTATTTTTCCTGAAATATTTCTACCAGCTCCATGTATTCTCAAAAAAGTAAGGGAGCGCCACTCCCCCGCACTACGGGAGCACTACATCCCTGGTGTTAGGTAGGAAATCACTGTATGTTTTTAACCTTATATACAGTGAGGGACCCTAGTACCGCACAGCCCCTAGTACCGCACAGCCCCTAGTACCTCACAGCCCCTAGTACCTCACAGCCCCTAGTACCTCACAGCCCCTAGTACCTCACAGCCCCTAGTACCGCACAACTCCTAGTACCTCACAGCCCCTAGTACCTCACAGCCCCTAGTACCTCACAGCCCCTAGTACCTCACAGCCCCTAGTACCTCACAGCCCCTAGTACCGCACAACTCCTAGTACCTCACAGCCCCTAGTACCTCACAGCCCCTAGTACCTCACAGCCCCTAGTACCTCACAGTCCCTAGTACCTCAGAGCCCCTAGTACCTCACAGCCCCTAATACCGCACAACTCCTAGTACCTCAGAGCCCCTAGTACCTCACAGCCCCTAGTACCTCACAGCCCCTAGTACCTCACTGCCCCTAGTACCTCACAGCCCCTAGTACTGCACAGCCCCTAGTACCTCACAGCTCCTAGTACCTCAGAGTCCCTAGTACCTCACAGCCCCTAGTACCTCACAGCCCCTAGTACCTCACAGCCCCTAGTACTGCACAGCCCCTAGTACCTCACAGCTCCTAGTACCTGAGAGCCCCTAGTACCTCACAGCTCCTAGTACCTCAGAGCCCCTAGTACCTCACAGCCCCTAGTACTGCACAGCCCCTAGTACCTCACAGCTCCTAGTACCTCAGAGCCCCTAGTACCTCACAGCCCCTAGTACCTCACAGCCCCTAGTACCTCACAGCCCCTAGTACCTCAGAGCCCCTACTACACTCACAGCCCCTAGTACCTCACAGCCCCTAGTACCTCACAGCCCCTAGTACTGCACAGCCCCTAGTACCTCACAGCTCCTAGTACCTCAGAGCCCCTAGTACCTCACAGCCCCTAGTACCTCACAGCCCCTAGTACCTCAGAGCCCCTACTACACTCACACGCTCTACACTGACATCAAATACCTTAGCCAGGTGAATAACACACAAAATAAATACTACACTGCTCAAAAAAATAAAGGGAACACTTAAACAACACAATGTAACTCCAAGTCAATCACACTTCTGTGAAATCAAACTGTCCACTTAGGAAGCAACACTGATTGACAATACATTTCACATGCTGTTGTGCAAATGGAATAGACAACAGGTGGAAATTATAGGTAATTAGCAAGACACCCCCAATAAAGGACTGGTTCTGCAGGTGGTGACCACACACCACTTCTCAGTTCCTATGCTTCCTGGCTGATGTTTTGGTCACTTTTGAATGCTGGCGGTGCTTTCACTCTAATGGTAGCATGAGACGGAGTCTACAACCCACACAAGTGGCTCAGGTAGTGCAGCTCATCCAGGATGGCACATCAATGCGAGCTGTGGCAAGAAGGTTTGCTGTGTCTGTCAGCGTAGTGTCCAGAGCATGGAGGCGCTACCAGGAGACAGGCCAGTACACCAGGAGACGTGGAGGAGGCCGTAGGAGGGCAACAACCCAGCAGCAGGACTGCTACCTCCGCCTTTGTGCAAGGAGGAGCAGGAGGAGCACTGCCAGAGCCCTGCAAAATGACCACCAGCAGGCCACAAATGTGCATGTGTCTGCTCAAACGGTCAGAAACAGACTCCATGAGGGTGGTATGAGGGCCCGCCGTCCACAGGTGGGGGTTGTGCTTACAGCCCAACACCGTGCAGGGCGTTTGGCATTTGCCAGAGAACACCAAGATTGGCAAATTCGCCACTGGCGCCCTGTGCTCTTCACAGATGAAAGCAGGTTCACACTGAGCACATGTGACAGACGTGACAGAGTCTGGAGACGCCGTGGAGAACGTTCTGCTGCCTGCAACATCCTCCAGCATGACCGGTTTGGCGGTGGGTCAGTCATGGTGTGGGGTGGCATTTCTTTGGGGGGGCCGCACAGCCCTCCATGTGCTCGCCAGAGGTAGCCTGACTGCCATTAGGTACCGAGATGAGATCCTCAGACCCCTTGTGAGACCATATGCTGGTGCGGTTGCCCCTGGGTTCCTCCTAATGCAAGACAATGCTAGACCTCATGTGGCTGGAGTGTGTCAGCAGTTCCTGCAAGAGGAAGGAATTGATTTTATGGACTGGCCCGCCCGTTCCCCAGACCTGAATCCAATTGAGCACATCTGGGACATCATGTCTCGCTCCATCCACCAACGCCACGTTGCACCACAGACTGTCCAGGAGTTGGCGGATGCTTTAGTCCAGGTCTGGGAGGAGACCCCTCAGGAGACCATCCGCCACCTCATCAGGAGCATGCCCAGGCGTTGTAGGGAGGTCATACAGGCACGTGGAGGCCACACACACTACTGAGCCTCATTTTGACTTGTTTTAAGGACATTACATCAAAGTTGGATCAGCCTGTAGTGTGGTTTTCCACTTTAATTTTGAGGGTGACTCCAAATCCAGACCTCCATGGGTTGATAAATTTGATTTCCATTGATAATTTTTGTGTGATTTTGTTGTCAGCACATTCAACTATGTAAAGAAAAAAGTATTTAATAAGATTATTTAATTCATTCAGATCTAGGATGGGTTATTTTAGTGTTCCCTTTATTTTTTTGAGCAGTGTATGTAGTTTACACACACACACACACACACACACTCTCACAAGCACGGAAACACGCTCACACACACACATATCACACACACACACGCCCACACACACAACGCCGTTATTAGGTCTGAGTGGACCAAGGCCACTGCTGAGAGAATGTAGACTTTGCCCAATTGCCCCCATTTCAACCCATCCCCCCCAGTTTGATTCTCAGTTCACCGATGTGCATAGCCATTTTACTGTTGTAAGTGACTGCGCAACAAGAAACATGTCAGATCACACTGGTGTTTCATTCATTTCACAAATCAATCAGTACACTACATCCCCTAGAAGAAGTAGGGTGGGCTATAGCTCCACAGACTGGCCCCTAGAAGAAGTTGATACTGTCACCCCAAGTGTGTGTTCCTTGTATTTATTTTCCCAGAGGAGACAATTCCCCTCCCAGTCTGGTTGCATCTTATCCTGTCCGACACAGGCATTGGCAGAATCTCACTCTCTCTGTCTCTCCCTCTCTGACACACACACACACTTGCGCTCTCTCAAACACACACACACACGTAATCTAAACAGTGCCAGCCAAGCTCTTGCAACAGACCACACAATGCCAGCTGCAGCATCAGAGTCGTATCCCCTCTAACTGCCACCATTAACCCAGCCTTTCCCAGGGGGACGAGTAGAAAAAGCCATTGTGACCACTAACACTGTGTGTGTGTGTGAGAGAGAGATATATATGGGGGCCCCAATGCAACATGATTCCCAGGATGATTCCCAGGACCTCCAACCTGATATATCCCACGGCCACGCAGCTCAATCAGGGCACTACATGTTCTTGATATGAAGACTCCAGACATAAATAAAACCTATCTGCCATGTGAAGAGTTGTGTGTCTGAGAGTCTATGGAGACTACTGTGTTGGCAAATTATTATAAATCCCTGTACTCCCAAGTGGCGCAGTGGTCTTAGGCACTGCATTGCAGTGCTAGCTGTGCCACTAGAGATCCTGGTTAAAATCCAGTCTCTGTTGTAGCCGGCCGCGAAAGGAGACCCATGGGGCGGTGCACAATTGGCCCAGGGTAGGGGAGGGAATGGCCGGCAGGGATGTAGCTCAGTTGGTAGAGCATGGCGTTTGCAACCCCAGGGTTGTGGGTTCAATTCCCAATATTAAAAAAATAATGTATGCACTCACTAAATGTAAGTTGCTCTGGATAAGAGCGTCTGCTAAATAACTAAAATGTATATGTCACTCACGTACAGTAGCCTACATCTGCCTTGTGTTATAAAGTACAGCCCATCAGTCTGGCATAGTTGTGCCACATTGTATCAACATGAGTCTAGGAGAGAGCAAGTGGTGCTACACAAAAATTCTATAAACCTTTGTAAACTCCAAACATGACCATGGGGGTAATCTCCAAACAAGACTATCAATGACCATGGGGTAATCTCTAAACAAGACTATCAATGACCATGTGGGTAATCTCCAAAAGTGGGAAATGTATACACAAGAATCAGTTCAAAATATTATACTTTTATTAAATATTTTTTTACTTTTATTTCACTGGTACTTCACTGTATTCATTTTATTCCTATATTTACTTTCCCTTCAACTAAACCAGATGCTTTGTTGCATAATACAGTGCAAAGGAATACAAAAATCTCAACTCTTGAGATTCCCATGCAGACAATAGTCTAAGAGTGTAGTTAGTTATTTGACATACCTTGGCATGGGACGTGGGGATTCTGGAGAGCAAGAGGAACTGAAACATTCCTAAAATAACTTGAAGCATAATCCCCATTGTGCAGTCCTCCAAAAGGCATGGGAAATGTTGGTCAATTAATTGGTGATTTGCTTTTCTCTCCCCTCAATCAATATTCCATCTGTAGTCCTTATGTTCGATCATATGAAATGACAGCCCGGGTGGCATTCCCATACCGTTACGCATGAACGTGAAAAATGATAAATTATGAAGCGGAGTCTATAGCAAATGAGTAGGCTAACACTCCAATGATTGAACTGTGACTTAATTAATTAATGAACAATTACACAATGTAATTAGCTACAATGTAAGAATTTAAAATATATTGCCATCAATAATCATTCTTGGCAATCAAGCGCACAGATATGATGCCTATTGACAAATAGCCTATTTTAATAAATCTCAGTCGTTCACTTTCAATTCGGTTTGCTCTATTTTACTGAGAGTTGTGTGAACTTTGAATGATGGCCCCCAATATTCCAAAGCCAGAGGTCTGGGTATGTAAACCGGTTAGGTTCGCCCATTGTTGATCGGAAACCCATGAAACGGTCTGTGTGTGAGCGTCAGGGGTGGCGTGACTACACGTCCATTTATAGTCCTGAGAAGAAATTTTGCAATATTGTATCCTTGTCTTAAGAAACGTTTAAATAGGTCAAATATCCCTTATTTAAGATCCAACACGACTGTCTTGAATCACATAAGGTACGTTGCCGCACGCACATTTCATGACACTGCGTAGCCTATACACAGCGGTGTCCCTGAGAAATAACCTAGATGACGATTCGTTGAAGACGCTTGTACCGCCGCGACTTATCCTTTAAGCAATATGTCCTCTTTTGAGAATAAGATAATGAAGTTCATGGTGCCAGAGCAGTCCACAAAGAGAAAATGTCCTTGAGAACGTTTCTTGATTTGTCATTATCGGTTCTTCATATCCTTTGCCCTTCAGCTCACAATTAAAAAGGCACACACCACTCGACGCACTCCGAATTCCGTGTAACCGTTGCACTGCCAACTTTTTCAAAATGACACTGACTCACCCGCGCAATGGACACAGTTGAACGTCGCCCTTCAATTCGTCATTCAGCAGGTCAATCATTTACCACTCCACTTTCTCAGCCACATTATACATTTTTAATAAGAATACAATACAAGGGGGCAATTGAATTGCATGAAGATCCCTTTATCATTCACCCAAATCCACCTCCAAGCTCACTCTCTCTCTTACCAGACTGACAGGACACACAAAACACTCCAACCAATAACTGATCACCCCCAGTGAACTGATATTAATCATTTACTTGAAAAGAATAACACATTTCCCCCCCCCAACTACTTTAGTTCACAGTGGCTTACGAAACCTCTGTCAGCAGCACAGACAGTACTGTCTTCCATCAGTTTGTCTTTACATCTGCAGAAGAGTCTGTCAGTGTGGTGTGTTTGGGTTATGAGGGGGCACTCATACACCACATGGGGGATGTGGGTATGCCAGGATCGGTTATCTCTCCTGTGGTTTCAGCTAAGGGCTTGAGAAACAACATTAGGCCAGGGAATCATTAACACACTCTGCACCCCATGTTTTTCAGCACCCCTCACTCATTCCCAAACTTGACAGGACACGTAAGAGTGGAATTGGGTGAGAAACAAACTCAAAACGAAACATTGGATGTTGTTGGTTGAGACCAGAGGAACAGTGTTGTTTTTATTCATCATTGCATGAATCCATGACACCAGGAAGAGTTAAGGCTGTCATTAAAAGATCACTCAAACACAATCTGTGACTAATAATACACTGAAAAAAGGCGTTATGGTAAGTGTCAGTTGGCCGTCAACATAGCAATAAATTAAATGCATTTCCTCATCTCAGAGATTGAAGCTGCCCACACGGGCAATAAATCAAATATTTCCATAATATAATTAACATTTCTAAAATGAATTCTTCAACATCAGACAAGGGTACAATTAAATACCATTTGAGAAAGTCATAATATGACTTGATTTTCAAGTTTTTCTTGATTCCATGTCCTTTCAATAGGAAAGGATCCATTATCTCTTGGGCCAGTTTTCCTTTCATCATATGACCAAGAAATGCTCTAGGCCCTAAATATTGCCTATAGGTAACATTGTCAAGAAAAACTCCTGACACGAACAGCATCTCTTTTTGACTGATTTTGGGTCCACCCTGGGCCCAGTGGCGGTGTCAAGAGTTCCATGATATCATTGACACACAGAGAGGCACAATGACTGAATCCCATTGGTTCAAGGGCAGCTGTGCACAGCACCCCCTATCTGTCATTAAGGCATTCTACCTTTGATTTAAGTCTTCAGTATGCAACACTTTCCTGCATCTCCAGTGGGCAAATTCACACTGTCATATGAACACCCATCAGACTGCCTCTGAACGGGCGTGGGGGAAAACAGCATGTCACTGCGAACCAATTAGCAACTGGCTTACAGGAGTCTCGGTTCCATCCAACAGAGGAAAGGATGTGCTGTTAATGACCATGTCCTACTGCTGATAGTCTTGTGATACCAGACCAAACCTCCACGACGTATTCTCCTTCCGGAGAAACCTACAATGGCTGGGGTCAACGCTCTACTGTGACAAAGACATGTACCCCATATACTGTTCCAGTTTCACCCAGGCATTACATACTATGTTGTTACAATATCCCAGCTAATAAACATTCTTTTTTTACTCCTCAGCTTAGTATCCGAGGTCCAAGCAAACGTGAGCTGTGCACATCATCAACGTCTGCCAAAAAACTATTTTAAAATGCTAACTACTCCTAACTCATTCAACCGTTCACTCCCCTTCCTGACCGACTCCATTCCTCTCCAGAGGCCTTCGGCCAACTCAATCCCCCTTGTTTTAAGATGTACTCTTATTCTACTAAACTCCTACTTGTCCTCTCCACTGTTGCGAGTGATTTTGTATTTCTCCAGGAACTCATTATGTTTCTGTCTGAGAATCTCTGTCTGCTTCTTAAACCCGTTCACTCTGCGAATCAAAATGAAGAAATCAAATCAGGTCCAGCCTCGGGTATATCATACAAACAAATCATATTAATACATACTCCATGCAATGTTGATTATTACCACTACCGTAACTAGAACAGTGTAATAACTGGGTAATAACACTTATAATACGTTTGAATTCTCACACACCTTGCCCTTTCTTTGGACTCGTTGTAGATCTGTGTGATGACCCTGTCCTTCTCGTCCATGAAGTTGTTATGGACAGACTCCAACTTTCTGTGTGACCGGAAGACAGAGAGACCTGTCAGACAACACAGATGTACACACAGCGGAATATCGTTGCCAGTTGAATTGGCATTTTGATTATTATTCATGTTTTATTATTCTGTACTAGTACAAATGAAAGTCATACCAGGAAAAGTTGGATCTCTACAAACAATAAAACAGCTTCCAAGTCAACGTGCCAAAACACAGATTACCAGATCTATTACAGCACAACCTGGGTCTGAGCCAGGGGCACCTGTGCCTACAGACAGACAGTTATCTGAGTCTCCAGACTATTTAGTCTAGACTATGAATTAGTAAAAACATAGTAATAGCAGTAATAGTCAAATGTCACATTTTGGCACAGAATTCAGAAATGCATTTGGTTTATGAGTGACAGAAGTGTGATTCCTTTCCTTGAACGTGACAGAACTACTGCATTTCGTATTTAACTACGTGCTATGAGAATGTACATACATACAGTATTAATGTCCAAGTATCAGTTTCACTCTGGTCTTTTCCCATGATGTTACCTGAAGAAGAAAACGTGAGTGCTGATGCTCAGTCCCATGATGAGCATACAGTAGCTAACTATTCTAAAGTTCCTCTTCCTCTTCCTCTCCCACTCCTCAGCAGTGGTCTCCTGAGGCTGAGAGTGTTTGAACTGATCCCAGTAGCGTACACTCTCCTGAGCCTCCGCCCTGAGGGAGGGAGACAGAGGGGAGAGAGACAGAGGGAGGGAGACAGAGGGAGAGAGACAGAGGGAGGGAGACAGAGGGAGAGAGACAGAGGGAGAGAGACATAAAAAAGGGGAATAAAACTTCTGAGATTTGTGTATGAACTCACACAGGGCTGTGTGTGCGTGTCAAATAAAATAAAATGTTATTGGTCGCATACACATATTTAGCAGATGTTATTGTGGGTGTAGCAAAATGCTTGTGTTCCTAGCTCCAATCGTGCAGTAATATCTAACAATACACAAAAATAAAAAAAGTAAAAGAATGGAACTAAGAAATATATAAATATTAGGACGAGCAATGTCGGAGTCCGGAATGTATGTGTGTGTGTGTGTGTGTGTGTGTGTGTGTGTATGTATGTATGTATATATATATATACATACACACAGCGCCTTCGGAAAGTATTCAGACCGCTTGACTTTTTCCACATTTTGTAACGTTACAGCTATATTCTATAATGGAATAAATAAATGTCCTCAGCAATCTACACACCATACCCCATAATGACAAAGGGAAAACAGGTTCGAGAGGTGACTACCTCATGAAGCTGGTTGAGAGAATGCCAAGAGTGTGCAAAGCTGTCATCAAGGCAAAAGGTGGCTATCTAAAGAATCTCAAAATATATTTTGATTTGTTTAACACTTTTTTGGTTACTACATGATTCCATATGTGTTATTTCATAGTTTTTCAATGTAGAAAATAGTAAAAATAAAGAAAAACCCTTGAATGAGTAGGTGTGTCCAAACTTTTGACTGGTACTGTATGTATGTATGTATGTATGTATGTATGTATGTATGTATATATCTATATATATATATATATATTTATGTGTGTGTTGGTGTGTATAGACATTATGGACAGTATGTGGATAGAATATATAGTATATCTGAAGAATACGTGGATATAATTGTATATGTACAGCAATAGTTGAATAGGATGGACTTGACTAGAATGCAGTACATAAAGGGGCAAATACGTTTTCACGGCACTGTACATATGAAATGGGTAAAACAGTATGTAAACATTATTAAAATGTGTGTGTGCGCATGGGTTAGTGCCTGCCTGCTTGCTTGAGTGTGTGCACGCTTGTTTACGTACCTGGGGTTGTATGTGGAGGTGGGTCTGAAGGCCTGTCCCCCGGTATAAGGGTGATGTAGCCGCAGGTCGTACTCTCTCCTGGATACCTCCTTACTCAGCACCCTGTAGGCCTCGTTCAGCTCCACAAACTGGCCATGCAGCCCCGGGTTAGACGGGTCACTGTCTGGGTGCATCTGGTAGAGAGACAGGGGGCAGTGAGGAGTAGTGATGAAAAAGCAATAGACACAAGCACACTGTTGAATGCTCCCGCTGTTTCAGTCAGTGCTAGATGGATGTGTGTACACTACAGTTGAGCAGTCAGGATGAGGATTAGGACAAACCAGGGTTACTACTGCACATGCATACAGTGGGGAAAAAAAGTATTTAGTCAGCCACCAATTGTGCAAGTTCTCCCACTTAAAAAGATGAGAGAGGCCTGTAATTTTCATCATAGGTACACGTCAACTATGACAGACAAAATGAGGGAAAAAAATCCAGAAAATCACATTGTAGGATTTTTAATGAATTTATTTGCAAATGATGGTGGAAAATAAGTATTTGGTCAATAACAAAAGTTTCTCAATACTTGGTTATATACCCTTTGTTGGCAATGACACAGGTCAAACGTTTTCTGTAAGTCTTCAAAAGGTTTTCACACACTGTTGCTGGTATTTTGGCCCATTCCTCCATGCAGATCTCCTCTAGAGCAGTGAAGTTTTGGGGCTGTCGCTGGGCAACACGGACTTTCAACTCCCTCCAAAGATTTTCTATGGGGTTGAGATCTGGAGACTGGCTAGGCCACTCCAGGATGCTTCTTACGAAGCCACTCCTTCGTTGCCGGGCGGTGTGTTTGGGATCATTGTCATGCTGAAAGACCCAGCCACGTTTCATCTTCAATGCCCTTGCTGATGGAAGGAGGTTTTCACTCAAAATCTCACGATACATGGCCCCATTCATTCTTTCCTTTACACGGATCAGTCGTCCTGGTCCCTTTGCAGAAAAACAGCCCCAAAGCATGATGTTTCCACCCCCATGCTTCACAGTAGGTATGGTGTTCTTTGGATGCAACTCAGCATTCTTTGTCCTCCAAACACGGCGAGTTGAGTTTTTACCAAAAAGTTCTATTTTGGTTTAATCTGACCATATGACATTCTCCCAATCCTCTTCTGGATCATTCAAATGCACTCTAGCAAACTTCAGACGGGCCTGGACATGTACTGGCTTAAGCAGGGGGACACGTCTGGCAATGCAGGATTTGAGTCCCTGGCGGCATAGTGTGTTACTGATGGTAGGCTTTGTTAATTTGGTCCCAGCTCTCTGCAGGTCATTCACTAGGTCCCCCCGTGTGGTTCTGGGATTTTTGCTCACCGTTCTTGTGATCATTTTGACCCCACGGGGTGAGATCTTCCGTGGAGCCCCAGATCGAGGGAGATTATCAGTGGTCTTGTATGTCTTCCATTTCCTAATAATTGCTCCCACAGTTGATTTCTTCAAACCAAGCTGCTTACCTATTGCAGATTCAGTCTTCCCAGCCTGGTGCAGGTCTACAATTTTGTTTCTGGTGTCCTTTGACAGCTCTTTGGTCTTGGCCATAGTGGAGTTTGGAGTGTGACTGTTTGAGGTTGTGGACACGTGTCTTTTATACTGATAACAAGTTCAAACAGGTGGCATTAATACAGGTAACGAGTGGAGGACAGAGGAGCCTCTTAAAGAAGAAGTTACAGGTCTGTGAGAGCCAGAAATCTTGCTTGTTTGTAGGTGACCAAATACTTATTTTCCACCATAATTTGCAAATAAATTCATTAAAAATCAAACAGTCACACTCCAAACTCCACTATGGCCAAGACCAAAGAGCTGTCAAAGGACACCAGAAACAAAATTGTAGACCTGCACCAGGCTGGGAAGACTGAATCTGCAATAGGTAAGCAGCTTGGTTTGAAGAAATCAACTGTGGGAGCAATTATTAGGAAATGGAAGACATACAAGACCACTGATAATCTCCCTCGATCTGGGGCTCCACGCAAGATCTCACCCCGTGGGGTCAAAATGATCACAAGAACGGTGAGCAAAAATCCCAGAACCACACGGGGGGACCTAGTGAATGACCTGCAGAGAGCTGGGACCAAAGTAACAAAGCCTACCATCAGTAACACACTACGCCGCCAGGGACTCAAATCCTGCAGTGCCAGACGTGTCCCCCTGCTTAAGCCAGTACATGTCCAGGCCCGTCTGAAGTTTGCTAGAGTGCATTTGGATGATCCAGAAGAGGATTGGGAGAATGTCATATGGTCAGATGAAACCAAAATAGAACTTTTTGGTAAAAACTCAACTCGTCGTGTTTGGAGGACAAAGAATGCCGAGTTGCATCCAAAGACCACCATACCTACTGTGAAGCATGGGGGTGGAAACATCATGCTTTGGGGCTGTTTTTCTGCAAAGGGACCAGGACGACTGATCCGTGTAAAGGAAAGAATGAATGGGGCCATGTATCGTGAGATTTTGAGTGAAAACCTCCTTCCATCAGCAAGGGCATTGAAGATGAAACGTGGCTGGGTCTTTCAGCATGACAATGATCCCAAACACACCGCCCGGGCAATGAAGGAGTGGCTTCGAAAGAAGCATTTCAAGGTCCTGGAGTGGCCTAGCCAGTCTCCAGATCTCAACCCCATAGAACATTTTTGGAGGGAGTTGAAAATCTGTGTTGCCCAGCGACAGCCCCAAAACATCACTGCTCTAGAGGAGATCTGCATGGAGGAATGGGCCAAAATACCAGCAACAGTGTGTGAAAACCTTTTGAAGACTTACAGAAAACGTTTGACCAGTGTCATTGCCAACAAAGGATATATAACAAAGTATTGAGAAACTTTTGTTATTGACCAAATACTTATTTTCCACCATAATTTGCAAATAAATTCATTAAAAATCCTTCAATGTGATTTTCTGGAAAAGAAATTCTCATTTTGTCTGTCATAGTTGACGTGTACCTATGATGAAAATTACAGGCCTCTCTCATCGTTTTAAGTGGGAGAACTTGCACAATTGGTGGCTGACTAAATACTTTTTTCCCCCACTGTATATGTGTATTAAAGCAGTCAAAAGTTCAGTATTTGGTCCAATATTCCTAGCACACAATGATTACATCAAGCTTGTGACTGTCACTTTGGAGTCACTTTTCTTGTAACTAAGAATATAATGTTTCTAAACACTTCTACATTATTGTGGATGCTACCATGATAATGGATAGTCCTGTATGAATCGTGCATAATGATTAGAGAGAAAGTTACAGACGCACAAATATCACCCCCCCCCAAAAAAAAAAAGCTAACCTCCCCTGTTATTGTAATGGTGAGAGGTTAGCATGTCTTGGGGATGTGATATTTGTGCGTCTGTAACTTTCTCACTCATCATTATTCACGATTCATACAGGATTATCCATTATCATGGTAGCATCCAAGTGTTTAGAAACATATTATATTCTTATTTACAATAAAAGTGACTCCAAAATGACACAATACATTATTTACCATGAATTTCTATAGGGCACAAAATAATCTGAAACACAACCAAAACAAACAGCAAATGCATCCAACAAGTTCGTAGAGTCACAAACTTGATGTAATCATGTGCTAGGAATATGGGACCAAATACTAAACTTGACTACTATAATAAGCATAAGTGAATTTGTCCCAATATTTTTGGTCCCCTAAAATGGGGGTACTATATACTGTAATTTCTAAACGGTTCACCCGATATGGATGAAAATACACTTTAACCTCATAGTCACTGTATCATTTCAAATCCAAAGTGCTGGAGTACAGTGCCAAAACAAATATGTCACTGTCCCAATACTTTTGGAGCTCACTGTATATTATACATGAACAAGGCGGGAATGTGATGTTGGAAGAAGGTAGAAAAATACTGTGGAAGAGTGCACTCGTGTGGTTGGAGAGAGAAGCTGCAATTCCTTTAACAGTTTATTCGTTAAGTATTCAGACCCATTGACTTTTTCCACAGTTTGTTACGTTACGGCCTTATTCTAAAATGTATTAAATAGTTATTTTCCCTCATCAATCTACACACAACACCCCATAATGACAAAGCAAAAACATGTTATTAGACATTTTTGCAAATGTATTCAAATAAAAAAAACGGAAATATCACATTTACATAGGTATTCAGACCCTTTACTAAGTACTTTGTTGAAGCACCTTTGGCAGCGATTACAGCCTCGAGTCTTCTTGGGTATGACGCTACAAGCTTGGCACACCTGTATTTGGGGAGTTTCTTCCATTCTTCTCTGCAGATCCTCTCAAGCTCTGTCAGGTTGGATGGGGAGCATTGCTGCAAAGCTATTTTCTGTTTTCTCCAGAGATGTTCGATCAGGTTCAAGTCCGGGCTCTGGCTGGGCCACTCAAGGACATTCAGAGACTTGTGCCGAAGCCACTGCTGCGATGTCTTGGCTGTGTGCTTAGGGTCGTTGTCCTGTTGGAAGGTGAACCTTTGCCCCAGTCTGAGCGCTCTGGAGCAGGTTTTCATCAAGGATCTCTCTGTACTTTGCTCCGTTCATCTTTGATCCTGACTAGTCTCCCAGTCCCTGCCACTGAAAAACATCCCCACAGCATGATGCTGCCACCACCATGCTTCACTGTAGGGATGGTGCCAGGTTTCCTCCAGACATGAGGCTTGGCATTCACGCCAAAGAGCTCAATCTTGGTTTCATCAGACAAGAGAATCTTGTTTCTCATGGTCTGAGAGTCTTTAGGTTCCTTTTGGCAAACGCCAAGCGGGCTGTCATGTGCCTTTTACTGAGGAGTGGCTTCCGTCTGGCCACCCTACCATAAAGGCTTCATTGCTGGAGTGCTGCAGAGATGGTTGTCCTTCTGGAAGGTTCTCCCATCTCCACAGAGAAACTCTAGAGCTCTGTCAGAGTGACCATCGGGTTCTTGGTCACCTCCCTGACCAAGGTCCTTCTCCCCCGATTGCTCAGTTTGGCCCGGGCGGCCAGCTCTAGGAAGAGCTTAGTGGTCCCAAACTTCTTCCATTTAAGAATGATGGAGGTCACTGTGTTCTTGGGGACCTTCAATGCTGCAGAAATGTTGTGGTACCCTTCCCCAGATCTGTGCCTCAACACAATCCTGTCTCGGAGCTCTACGGACAATTCCTTCGACCTCATGGCTTAGTTTTTGCTCTGACATGCACTGTCAACTGTGGGACCTTATATAGACAGGTGTGTGCCTTTCCAAATCATGTCCAATCAATAGAATTTACCACAGGTGGACTCCAATCAAGTTGTAGAAACATCTCAAGGATGATCAATGGAAACAGGATGCACCTGAGCTCAATTTCGAGTCTCATAGCAAATTGTCTGAATACTTATGTAAATAAGGTATTTCTGTTTTTAATTTTAATGTGCAAAATTGTCTAAAAACCTGTTTTCGCTTTGTCATTATGGGGTATTGTGTGTAGATGGCTGAGGAAAATGTTTTATTTACTCCATTTTAGAATAAGGCTGTAACGTAACAAAATGTGGAAAAAGTCAAGGGGTCTGAATAAATTCCGAAGGCACTGTAAACCATAATTATGTGCTGCTTGAGCTATGTGCCTTTCATCCATTCACTAAGTATTTAAAGCTTTTAAATGATAGGTTAGGAGATTGTCGTACCTTTTTTGATTTATCGAAAAACGCATTCTTGATTTGCTCCAGTGAGGCATCAGGTTTTACACCAAGAAGGTCGTAGTGGTTTAATGTCGCTCTGCAATGAGACACAATTAATGCTAATTATACAGGATGACAACACACAGTATTGGGACCATGGACTGAACAATGCCTCTAAACAGACCACTATCATCAGCATATTCCCAAGTGGCGCAGCGATCTAAGGCACTGCATCTCAGTGCTAGAGGCGTCACTACAGACCATGGTAGTGTATCACAATCCAGCCAGTGATTGGGAGTCCCATAGGGCGGCGCACAATTGGCCCAGCGTCGTCTGGGTTTGGCCGGACAGGGTAGGCCATCATTGTAAATAAGAATTTGTTCTTAACTGACCTGCCTAGTTAAATAAAGGTTAAATAAAAAAAGTACAGCGTAATTAGACAAATGTCAAATGCACACAAACACACCGGCATGCACATTGTACAGCTGTGCACAAAGGTAAATGCTGTAAAGAGAGAGGGAGAGAGCATACCTGTGCACAGAGCTCTGAGAGAGCAAGCGCAGTCCGCTCTTGCAGCACCATAGACAGCTCTGACAAAGACGCAGCTGGGCCTCCAACTGCATGCTGGGAAGTATTGTTGCCTAAACAGTTTACAAAACAAATGACCTACGGAGGAGAAAAGACATGGGAAAATAGCAGTAGTGGCAAGTATAAACTATCTCAATTATATGCCTATTGCATCAAAGACAGTTACAAATACTTTTTCCATATAATGTGATGATAATTGGGTGCCGTTGTCAAAGTTACCGTTCAGTCAGTAGGACTTCACTGGAAAGAGAGTGGTCCGCAGGAGGACAAAGAGGAGAGTCCACTCACAGTCACTGGGCACGTGACGTCACTGAACACAACAAGAGCAAAGAGGGCGTCATATATTTTGCAGGCTTTGAGCATATCAAAAAATATATCTATCTCATATATATATATATATGTCACATGCGCCAAATACAACAGGTGTATATCTTACCATGAAATGCTTTCTTACAAGCCTTAACCAACAATGCAGTTCAAGAAATAGAGTTACAAAATATTTACAAAAATAAACTAAAGTAACGCAATAAAAAGTAACACAATAAAATTACAATACGGAGGTTATATACACGGAGTACCGGTACCGAGTCAATGTGCAGGGGTACAGGTTAGTCGAGGTAATTTGTACATGTAGATAGGGGTAAAGTGACTATGCATAGATAATATACAACTAGTAGCAGTAGGGGGAGTCAATGTAAATAGTCCGGGTGGCCATTTGATTAATTGTTCAGCAGTCTTTGGGGTAGATGCTGTTAAGGAGTCAACATAGCTAGTCCCTTGAATCTTTCACGGAGATTGACGCCAGACCAATTTAAAGTTAGAAGAGTTTGAAGTCACAGCATGAATACAACAGTTCAGTCATTACCTGCAGTAGTTCACAGCAAGTTAACGTTACACGTTGTCCTGTCCCTTGCAAATTAACTAGCTAGCTAACTACTCCATTGATTATGTTCTGAGCATTTGTTAGCTGGCCTGGCTAGTGTGGAGACGCATTAAACAAATTAACTTTAGATAGTATCTGTAGCTATACACTTGTGGACATAGTTGGCTACCCAGTTAACTAAAGGTATATGCATAAATTAAGTTATTATCGGTCGAAATGGTACAGTGCACACAGTGTACCCTAGCTAGCTAGCTAACTGGGTAGAATTTTGCCAGTAGCTAACGTTAGCTAACTAACTCAACTAAAGAGACTGGGCTCAGCTGTTGACCTATGATTTCATGTAGCAAAAACACACACTAGTATTTTAACAAAAGACAGAAGCAAGGGTAAAGAAGCACAGACTTACCGAAATACTGCATTTTCTTCGTTTCATAACAAAAATATTGGGTGCGGGTTGTTACATAAGTGTCTCTGGCAGTGTGACTGCCTGTTGGCTGGGTAGGGTGGTTTTCAGTAAGGAACGCTATAGCAAAATGTTTTACAGCTGTAAACAAAACCTGTATTTCTATTGGACAAATTCAGGACGCTAGTACCCAGTTTCATTCCCTGTCTAAACGTTTATTCCAAACTGAACACCACCACACGCTACTGAACTTTTTTTGTTTTGAAGGGGGTTAACCCTATCACGCCTTTCCATTCTCTACAAGAGAATGCATCAAGTGTATTGTTTTTTGTCGCTTACAGCAATTATGTACATTCAATCAAAAGTATGTTCAATAACGTTTTGGGGAAACGTGTCGTTCAGTACAAACCGTTCCGCAAACGTTCAAGCGAATTGAACGCACCTCTGCTGTGAAAGTGGGCGATGCTGACCCATCCGTCCTCAAAATCTTCTTCTTCAGTGGAGTTTATCGGCGTTTGGCAGCCAATGTTATGGTGCATTACCGCCACCTACTCTACTGGAGTGTAGGCCAGAGACAGGGAGAAACTAAATCCCACCAGCCAACCCCCGTTTCTCTTAAAAAAGATAGCAACATATTTGAGACTATATCTAATGACGTTCTACTCAATATACACTTTAAACTAATTTCCTGTATCCCCTTCTTCCTCATACTAGATCTCATCCTCTCTCTTTCCCTCTGATACTGCCCACACTGTAGCAATACATGCTCCACAGTCTCTATTTCCTGACAATAATCACACTTTCCTGATGGATGCTTTCCTACCACATTTAATGTATTATTCAACTGTCTGTGTCTCACCCTTAATCTTGTAAAAATAGCCTCCTCTCTTCTGTCCCTTCCTGTCGTCCTCCCCTCCCTGACTTTCCTCTGTACTTGAAATAAATGCCTTCCCTTATTATCTCTATTCCACTGCTCCTGCCATCTCTGCACCATCACTGTATATATCAGTATTTTTGCCTCTGCCTTGCTCATTGAAACTTCAACATCAACATCCCCACTACTAAGTGCTTTTTTAGCCTGTTCATCTACTGCCTCGTTCCCCACCCCCACATGGGCTGGAACCAAGTAAATCTTATCTGAAAACCCATCTGTTTAATCCTGCCATGGGTTTGTAGCACCTCATAAAGCAGGTCTTGTCTACTATGTGAACTAAAGGACTGAAGACTCATTAACACTGCACATGAATCAGAGCAAATAACTACTCTGTCTTGTTTGACTTCCTCCACCGACTGCAAGGCCAACAGTATGGCCATCAGCTCCAGCATATATACAGCCAGATGATCTGTAATACATTTCCTGACTTCCACCCCACATTCCTGGACTACAAATGCTGACCCAGTACGTCCTGTCCTTGAATCTTTTGAACCATCTGTGTAAATGGTCACAAAATCCTGATACACAGTTTCCAGACGTCTCTTAAAGAAATCAACTGGATCAACACCCTCCCTATCTTTCTGTAGTCTCTCCAACACTTCTAGATCAACTACTGGAGGCGGGAGTAGCCATGGTGGATTTACAGGAATAACTACCGTTGGACTAAACTCACAGTCACATCTCCTTCGCCTGGGTATTACCCACCCACCCAAAACTCGTGTTCGGTCTTCGCTCATGTTTCCAGCATGCCTGTAAAATCCCTTTCGCAGGATGAGACACATTTTACATTTACATTTTCGTCATTTAGCAGACGCTCTTATCCAAAGCGACTTACAAATTGGTGCATTCACCTTATAGCCAGTGGGATAACCACTTTACAATATGTTTTTTTTTTCTCTCTTTGGGGTGGGGTAAGGGGGGGTAGAATGATTACTTTATCCTATCCCAGGTATTCCTTAAAGAGGTGGGGTTTCAAGTGTCTCCGGAAGGTGGTGAGTGACTCCGCTGTCCTGGCGTCGTGAGGGAGCTTGTTCCACCATTGGGGTGCCAGAGCAGCGAACAGTTTTGACTGGGCTGAGCGGGAACTGTGCTTCCGCAGAGGTAGGGGGGCCAGCAGGCCAGAGGTGGATGAACGCAATGCCTTCGTTTGGGTGTAGGGACTGATCAGAGCCTGAAGGTACGGAGGTGCCGTTCCCCTCACAGCTCCATAGGCAAGCACCATGGTCTTGTAGCAGATGCGAGCTTCAACTGGAAGCCAGTGGAGTGTGCGGAGGAGCAGGGTGACGTGAGAGAACTTGGGAAGGTTGAACACCAGACGGGCTGCGGCGTTCTGGATGAGTTGTAGGGGTTTAATGGCACAGGCAGGGAGTCCAGCCAACAGCGAGTTGCAGTAATCCAGACGGGAGATGACAAGTGCCTGGATTAGGACCTGTGCCGCTTCCTGTGTAAGGCAGGGTCGTACTCTGCAAATGTTGTAGAGCATGAACCTACAGGATCGGGTCACTGCCTTGATGTTAGCGGAGAACGACAGGGTGTTGTCCAGGGTCACGCCAAGGTTCTTTGCACTCTGGGAGGAGGACACAACGGAGTTGTCAACCGTGATGGCAAGATCATGGAACAGGCAGTCCTTCCCCGGGAGGAAGAGCAGCTCCGTCTTGCCGAGGTTCAGCTTGAGGTGGTGATCCGTCATCCACACTGATATGTCTGCCAGACATGCAGAGATGCGATTCACCACCTGGTTATCAGAAGAGGGAAAGGAGAAGATTAATTGTGTGTCGTCTGTGTAGCAATGATAGGAGAGGACATGTGAGGATATGACAGAGCCAAGTGACTTGGTGTATAGCGAGAATAGGAGAGGGCCTAGAACTGAGCCCTGGGGGACACCAGTGGTGAGAGCACGTGGTGCGGAGACAGATTCTCGCCACGCCACCTGGTAGGAGCGACCTGTCAGGTAGGACGCAATCCAAGAGTGAGCCGCGCCGGAGATGCCCAACTCGGAGAGGGTGGAGAGGAGGATCTGATGGTTCACAGTATCAAAGGCAGCAGATAGGTCTAGAAGGACGAGAGCAGAGGAGAGAGAGTTAGCTTTAGCAGTGCGGAGAGCCTCCATGACACAGAGAAGAGCAGTCTCAGTTGAATGACCAGTCTTGAAACCTGACTGGTTTGGATCAAGAAGGTCGTTCTGAGAGAGATAGCAAGAGAGTTGGCTAAAGACGGCACGCTCATGAGTTTTGGAGAGAAAAAAAGAATGGATACTGGTCTGTGGTTGTTGACATTGGAGGGATCGAGTGTAGGTTTTTTGAGAAGGGGTGCAACTCTCGCTCTCTTGAAGACGGAAGGGACATAGCCAGCGGTCAAGGATGAGTTGATGAGCGAGGTGAGGTAAGGGAGAAGGTCTCCGGAAATGGTCTGGAGAAGAGAGGAGGGGATAGGGTCAAGCGGGCAGGTTGTTGGGCAGCCGGCCGTCACAAGTCGCAAGATTTCATCTGGAGAGAGAGGGGAGAAATAAGTCAAAGCATAGGGTAGGGCAGTGTGAGCAGGACCAGCGGTGTCATTTGACTTAACAAACGAGGATCGGATGTCGTCCTTCTTTTCAAAATGGTTGACAAAGTCATCCACAGAGAGGGAGGAGGGGGGGGGGGAGGGGGGGGGGGGGGTATTCAGCAAGGTGGCAAAGAGCTTCCTAGGGTTAGAGGCAGATGCTTGGAATTTAGAGTGGTAGAAAGTGGCTTTAGCAGCAGAAACAGAGGAAGACAATGTAGAGAGGAGGGAGTGAAAAGATGCCAGGTCCGCAGGGAGTCTAGTTTTCCTCCATTTCCGCTTGGCTGCCCGGAGCCCTGTTCTGTGAGCTCGCAATGAGTCGTCAAGCCACGGAGCAGGAGGGGAGGACCCTTGTGAGTAGGGGGGACAGTGAGAGGGTGAGGTCAAAAGAGGAGAGGAGAGGAGTGGAAAGAAGGAGGCAGAGAGAAATGAGTCAAAGTAGACGTAGGGAGGTTAAAGTCACCCAGAACTGTGAGGGGTGAGCCATCCTCAGGAAAGGAACTTATCAAGGTGTCAAGCTCATTGATGAACTCTCCAAGGGAACCTGGAGGGCGATAAATGATAAGGATGTTAAGCTTGAATGGACTAGTGACTGTGACTGCATGGAATTCAAATGAGGAGATAGACAGATGGGTCAGGGGAGAAAGAGAGAATGTCCACTTGGGAGAGATGAGGATTCCTGTGCCACCACCCCGCTGACCAGATGCTCTCGGGGTATGCGAGAACACATGGTCAGACGAGGAGAGAGCAGTAGGAGTAGCAGTGTTTTCTGTGGTAATCCATGTTTCCGTCAGCTCCAAGAAGTCGAGGGACTGGAGGGTAGCATAGGCCGCAGAACAGCAATTCCAGAGGCTGCCGGAGACCTGGAACTCTACGTGGGTCGTGCATGCAGGGACCATCAGATTAGAGTGGCAGCAGCCACAAGGTGTGAGGCGTTTGTATAGCCTGTGCGGAGAGGAGAGAACAGGGATAGACAGACACATAGTTGACAGGCTACAGAAAATGGCTACAAAATGCAAAGGAGATCGGAATGAAATGAACTAAACATCTGGGAAAGCGAGAGAGCGGGGCCTCCCTCACTTACGTTTCACTGAAACACTCAAATATAACTCTCCCAACTTCCACCTCAGAAACTATAATTGTTGTAATCTACAGCGGTTCAATGTTTTCTAGGAATAGACTAACTTAGTTTATTCAGCTAGCTAACTTGGTACAGTATTCTTCCGTGAAAACCGTCCAGGGCACCGAATCCTATGACGCCATAGCCAACTAGCATGCCAGCCTCCAATAACACGGTTTAGCACCAATACTCGGTTACAACAAACCACCAGTGTGTTAACACGCCAAGCAGATCATTCGTGTCCGTGTCTAACGTTGTGTAAAGTTTTGGGTTAGTTTTGACAGTTTGAGTGAGTCCATCGTCATCTTATTCAGCCAGTTAGTTAGCTAGAATAGTTAGCATACTTGCTAGCCATTGCACTCTGCCAACGAAAAACCCCTCCTCCCACGGCACGAACACACAGAGAGAGCCAAGCTAACGTTAACTAGTCACCCATGTCCTGAATTCCCTTGAACGACTCTGGTTACCAGTATGTAAAAACAAAACACAAATGTAGGTTATAACTTACCCTTAGTAGCTACTGTTAGCCAGTTAAGTGCAAATCTAGCCACTGAATCGATTCAGCCAGTTCGCGTCTGTTCGCTAGGTCGTTCCAGCT